TCTTGATAATCTCCTACCTCTTTTGTCTCTAACTCACTATTATTTGTCTATTTGTTTTCCTGAGAAACTATTTTGTAGATAATAATATGTAAAACGATAACCATTGATAATTTCCTACCATTTTTTCTTTAATTTGCTAAGTTCCCCCATTATTATGTTATCCTTCTTTTATTCTTTAAAATAAAAAAAAAAAAACAAAACCCAAGGAAAAGAGTAAGAGGACTAACTAGCTCAGTGACGCGGGCAGTCCAGTGTCAGAAGGGAAGCTGCCAGGGTAACTGGTTAAGCTGTCAAAGGCGGCGGCACCATGGGCCTCACGTGGGTGGAGCACTGAGGGCGCCCCTGCCGGGTGAGGAGCACACGCGTCCGGCCACTGTGCTCCCCGTGAAGGCGCTGCTGCGGCCGAGGATGTGAACGCGAACCCACTAGAGGTGAACCCAGGTTCCCGGGCAAGAGGTCGCCCTGTAGCAGATGTCACCAGAGGAGGCTGTGCACCGGCGTAGGGAGAACCAGATTCACAGTGCTGGTGGGAAGAGGCCTGGCGCCCTTCAACTAGCAAGATCTGTGGTGGGGAGCAGCAGACTCAGCCGGTGCTGGGAAGCACCCGGGCTGCTTCAGGGCTCGGGGGCCTAAGGACACCTGAGGCTGTGACCCTGCTTGTCTAGCGCAGGTGCACAGTGGGATGCAGTTATTTGGCCATGACGACAATCTGTGTAGGAATTATACAATAAAGACGCAGGTGGCCTGGCTCTTGGGCTCTCTGCTCTGCTCCACGGTGCCTGCTGTGGTTGCTGAGTTCTTGCACACATGCGCTCTTTACCCTGGGGACCCCACCCTTGAAAATCTCACTTGCCCCCTTCCCCTGCAGGCCAACAGCCAGTTTCTGAGAGATGGAGACCAGAAAGACAAGAGGGAAAGATGACAAGGAAAGGCGTGCTTGTTACACAGCAGTACTTTTTACAACGGAAGTTTTATATGACCAGCATAGAATTATAAGTCTTCACAGTGCTTTTGTTCTTACTGTGTGAGTAAAATCCTTGGGGAAAAGCTGCTTTTTGAGCTATCTAGCCATTGCTTAGTCATGTTTGTTTTTTCTAATGTAATATGTGCACATGGTTGAAAACAATAAAAGGCTCAAACGTCAGAGGGGAAGAGTTACAGAGGTGAGCCTGCCGCCACAACCCTGGCCCCCCTTGCAGTGTGGCTCCCAGTTTTGGGGACACACGAGGATGCGTTCTGGAGGACAGAGGCGTGGGCAGGGGCGTCCCCATTGCTGTGATTTGTCTTTTTGGGGGAACTTTTCGCCACTCGCCCGGCGGACCAGAAGGGCCTGCAAGAGAGGAAAGGCTCCCGCTGAGCCCTGAGGCGCAGTGAACGGACAGGGTCTAGAGCTGGAGGACATCCGCTCACTGGCTCTTAGAGCAGCACGAGCATCTGTAATGACATCAGGAGCCCTTAGTCTTCCTTCTCCATCTTATTTCCCTGAGTATTTTCCGCAGGCTGGTTTCTCTTTTATAAAACAAAACAGCTGCCAAAGCTCTTGAATCTGGTTCTGTTCCTCCCGCTCTACCTGCAGAGAGGGAGAAAATGTTTCTAACTTGGAATTCTGAGCAGAACCTAGAGGTTTCCTGTTGGGCTCTCGTGGGTCACAGGCCAGCTGAGCCAAGCGCTGCTGTCAGAACAGAACGGCCTCCCAGAGGAGCTGCATGTGGTCAGCGTGCTACATGGGAAAGCGGTGAGTACGTCGGTGGGAAATCCGGGCAGTGCTGGCCAGGACAGGCAGACAAACACGCGCCTACTATAGTGTCCAGTGATTGAAAAACAAAAAGCAGAATCTCACTTGTGTTATCAGCTCTTGAAGCTCGGCTTTGACTATTCGAAGCTACTCTGGATTAATGAAGATCACGGGCTTAGCTATAAAACAAGACAGAAAAGACGAAGATCGGTGGCGGCAGAACCTTCAAAGAGTGGATCCGGGGCCATGTGGACTATGGAGAGAAAGAAGAGATGGGAAGGCGGATGGGGGAGGCAGCGCAGAGGTGGGGAGATCCGGCCGGATCAGAGCCCCGTGGACAGCAGTTGGCACAGGGAGGCGGCTGGACAGTCTCAGGAGGACGGGGTGGGTGACGGGGTGGGTGAGCCGCAGCCAGGGTCAGTGGGGAGGACGCCTTTGTTCTCACTTGAGGATCCAGCCTGGCAACTTGCAGACCTGAGACCCTGGCTCCCCACTAACACTCCGCCTCGTCCCCGGACAGTCCCTGTCCAGCCTCCCGGGTGAGCCCCACGGAGCTGAAGACCAGGCGAGGGCTCCAGAAGCAGGGAGGGCAGGCGCTGTGCTAGGCCACCTTCACCCCAGCGTCACACGCTTAACACGGGCCACACGCCTGAGGTTTTCCCCAAAGGTTGTGGAACATGGTGGAGATCACACAGCTACATCTACACGTTTTCATTTCTAAAAAAGTAAAATTAAATGTTCTTCCTTTACGTCAGATCAGGTTTGCCTTCCAGTCACCCTACACACCAGTGGGGCTCCGCGGGATGAGGCCAGGCCGCCCCCAAGGACCCTCTCGCCTGTGCTGACGGCTCGTGACCTCGCACCCCCCCACCAGTCCTGGTTGGGGGTGCAACTCCACGTGTCCCACGGTGAGGCACACTGTGTCCAGTTCTTGAACTTCTACCTAGGAAGAGGAAGAGGCAAAGTCTGAAGCAAGCGTATTCCGTTCTGTCTCGGAGACTTTTGCAAAAGAAGCTCAGGGAGCCGCCGCCCTCACTGACCCCTGGGAGCGTTCAGCCCTGCTGTCGGTGCCTGGAGCAGGGCCATTGGGCGCCGTTTCCCACCAGGGCGAGGTCAGCCGGGGATTTCAAGCTGTTCAGGCGGGTGTTGCTATGGCACATGTCCAGACTCCTTGGAGCTCTGGGTGATGGGGGGGTTAGGAAGTGAGAGGAGGAAGATATAAACAGGAAGAAAGCTGAGGTCAGCGGAGGTCCTCCCCTTCCGATGGGAGAACTGAACCACCCTAGGGGTGTTTATTTGTACTTTTGACATAGTTAGTAGCAGGAGACGCGGGGTTGCTAGTGACTAATGACAGCAATTGTCTCAGGCAGGGTGTTTTTCTCAGGACTGAGGTGTTTTCCTTCCAGGATGCAGTTCCGAGGAAAACAGGCACTGAGTACTAAGGCGTTCCCGAACCCTCACCGCGTGCTTGGCCCCGGGCTCTGTGCCGCTCGTGCTCTGACCAGAGCCTAAGCTGTGTGCTCGCAGTCACACAGCCAGTCAGCAAGCGTCCAGGAGCCCGGCCCCATCTGGCCCCAGAGCCCTCCCTCCTCTGCTGTCACCGCCACCTCCACCAGGCGTGCCGGCTTAGCCGGCTGTGCTGGCCTCCATATGCAAAAGCACAGGGCGTTTGCTCGGCAGAGTGACGTTGCGGGAATCTGACCGCGCAGTGGAAGTCTCCAGAGGACTGAGGCGGGAAAGCCTCTTCCCGGCAGAACTGAGGACCCTCCGGGAGGGGGCAGCGAGAAGAGCGCTGGGCTCGGCCTCAGGAACTCAGCGCCCGGTGACTGCAGTGCTGTTCCCGCCTGGCCAAGCCGCACTGATGCCTCCGGGCCGCACACCCAATCCCAGCTCTGCGGCCTGGCAAGCACGAGGCCTGGGAAGGGTTCCGAGTAATTCTGATGATCTGAAAACTTCAGTGACATTTTTCTGTGCCTATACTGGTATGTCCTTTTACAAATGGGACCAGGGTGTGTTTGCTCCCCGGGCATAGTACTAAAAATGCACCCAGGAGGGAGAGAGGGGAAGGGAAGAGGACTCAAAAGGAATCAAATTGTTACATACCACCTCCACACCATGAGTGTAAACACTATATACTGCAGCCCGGCCTGGTGGCGCACACCTGTAATCGCAGCACTCGGGAGACTGAGGCAGGAGGATCGTTGAGAGTTTGAGACCAGCCTGGGCTACAAAGTGAGCTCAAGGCCAGCCTGAACTGCATAGCGAGACCCTGTCTCAAAAAGACAGAAAAAAAAAAAAAAAATCTCACATCAAAAATATATCTCTTATACCAATAGCTTTCTTCATATTTTTTTCTCTTACTATAAACTTTTTATAACCAACTTGGTAGTGGCCACTTGATTTTAAGGTGGTTTTTTTTTTTTTTCTTTTGTTTTGTCTCAGAATGCTACATTTTAAAGTTTGACTGGCTGCCAACCACTTTCAGTTAACTTCCAGTCAGTACTCAGTACCAACGGAAAGCAGAGATTAGAGCAAGTCAACCCTGTAATTATAGTTTAACAATTTATAATGCACAAATTAAAATGTGGGGCAAAAGCACACAAATAATTAAAGTGTGAAATTTCTGTGAGAAATACAGAATTAAACTATGGGGTAAAAGTGCAGGCTGTGTGAAAAGAAAACAATTAAACAAGAAGTTTTGGGGTTTTTTTTTGGTTTTTCTCTGGTACCAGGAATCAAACTCACGACCTTGCACTTGCCAGGCAGGCGCTGTGCCGCTGAGCTAAATCCCCAGCCCCAAGAAGTTTAGATTAGTGAAGCATGTTGTGTCTGGCCATTTGTCCTTCCGTTTTTCCAAGAAAAACTGCCTAGACGTGAGACAGCTTCTTGCCCAAACTGCTTTTTCTTGTTTTTTTCTCTTACACTGATATTCTAAATAAAAGCCAGACAATTCTGAGCTTGGTGGCTTTTTCTCTCCTCCCAGAGTCTCCCTGGTGGTCAGGCTCTCTCGGTTGAGATATGCCCCTCTGGGCCGCTTGGTGAATGAACTGACTGTGGTCTCCGGGTCATCTTCTTCATCTCCTGTGTTGCCTGCAGTCACTCTGCGATAGGAAGAACCCGGCCAGGAGAATATAACCTTTTCTCTGTTAACTCTGAGAAATATGTTTGAATTATTTTTGACAATTTTGTATTCTCCACACCATGTGAGACTTCTGTGATGATGTTGTTGAAAATTCTCAGATTGGATCATACAATATTCCTATTTTTCTTTCCTCTTTGCAATCACTTTTCTGTTCTTTACAAATTTTGCTTTCTAATTGATCTCTTGAATTATTAATATCTATGATTCTATGATTATATTTTTAATTTCCAAAGCTTATTCTTTTTCTGGTACATAGTTGATGGAGACTACTACAAAGAGGCGCTGAGCAGGATTTAATATTAGCCAACTGGCTTTCTATGTTTTCTTGTGAGTTGTCAGAAGCTTAGGCACCTTGTCTGAAGATGGGCAGTGGACTCATAGTAAGGGAACCTCTATGAGTCCCTGGTCACCCTGAGGCCTGTATTGGCCTGTGAAGCTGGGACGCCCCAAACGACAAGATAAGGCCGCAGCTGAGGACGTCTGGCTCCAACCCCAGTTAACTACAAGGAGACTGCAGCTGCAGGCTCCATATTCCCACAATAAATACCAACCTAAAGATAAAGTAGTTCTCCTGATTGACATAATTTACTACTTGGGAAAATTCTCCCAAGGTCCTATGAAATTCCCGCATTTTCTTGAGTATCCCCATCCTTTGTTTGAAAACCAAATAAATATGGGCTGCCCAGAGAAGTCTTGGTCTAAACCCAGAGAATATCAAAGCTGTAAGAGAGTGAGACCCTCGTGGAGCCCTGAAATCATTTCATTTGTCTCATTTATTTAAGCCTTTGCCATCCACTCGCTTGGGAGAGTGCAGGCCTGATCAGTCGGCAATAACCAAGGGTTATTTAACCCAATACATAGCGTTATATAAATGTCTCCCTGTTTAATAGTATCACATCGTCCCTTCCGTCATTTATATATTATTAATAATTGGGGTAGGGGACCTGTTGCATCTCCTTGTTATCTGCTTCCATGGTATCATGAAATTGTCCCTCACAATTCATCATGATTTTCACATTTACCGTGGTGATTTTTCAGAAATGCTTGTTGGTTCACAACAATGAAAGCTTCCTATCACTAGCCTCTACATTAGCTCCTCCTGTGTCAGGGTCTCTGGGTGAGCTCCGGACCCAGCAGAGCCTTGAAACATACACGGGAGGATGGGCTTAGGAGGCAGTGAAGTCACCGATGTCCTCCTCAGCACTGGGTCACACCCTCCTCTCACAGAATGTTCCAGAACAGTCCCTTGCTGGGAGCGCAGCACCACACCCATGTTCTGGTGATCAGGGCACCAATGCAAGACAAGTCAGCAACACCCCGAGAGAAAGTCCCCTGGTCTCACCCCAGCTCCACCCCCTGCTCTCTCACTCTCTCATCCCTGTCCAAATAAAGGATCACATGCTGGGGTTCTGGGGTTGCTTGGGGTTCCTATTTGGCCCTCTCAGTACAACTCGTAGTGTGATTGTCCAGGATATATTAGTTGTTCCATTTTTTATACCTTATTGTATTGATTGTACCACTTAGGTTTTTTCCATTCTTTTGTTTTATAAACCATAATTCAAAAAATGTTTTTGTTACACGTATTTGAAAACATGTATAGTTTCTTCTCTTAAAGAAAAAATTTTGTAGCTGGATGTGGTGGTGCACGACTGTAATCCCAGTACTTGGAAGGCTGAGGCAGGAGGATTGCCATCACTTCAAGGCCAGCCTGGGCTACATAATGAATTCAAGGTCAGGATGAACTGCATAGTGAGACCCTGTCTCAAAAAAGACAAAAAAAAAAAAAAAAAGAGAGAGAGAGAGAGAAAAAATTTTGCTAGTTACAGTGTGCACATGTAGTGCATTACTTACTAGGGAAACTGAAGTGGAAGGACTGCTTGGGTCCAAGAACCAGCAACCAGGCTGGGCAACATAGTGTGACT